CAGCAGCAGTTTTCTGTCGGGGATTTGTCGTGCCGCGCTGCATCCAGTGTAGACCATAGATATTTATATATATCTATGGTGTAGACCGCATCACTGAATAGGGGCGAGACCCTTTTGGGGTAGGGGCGTGTTTGTATTGGTGATTTGAAATCAACATTGGCTACCAGAAATCGCTTACCCCACCTTTAAACTGAAATTAAAGCTTAAAGGGGTCATATGATGCTATTTTAAAGATCATTATTACCAAGAGCTTGTAACACTCCAAAGAGAAAGGAAAACTTGAAATTGCATCATATGACCCCTTTAATAAAAATCTATACAGACATGACATAAAATTAGTAGATCCTCAAAATTAAAATGAAAACTCAATATCAACAAAAACTATCAATGAAACTAAAATAACATTGCTGTGGACCATTTACACCATTTTATTTTGGCACTGGCTTTGTACTGATGTACCAGTATTTTTGACATCCCTACATGAAAGGTAAAGTTTTGCTTTGGATTTGTTTTACAGGCAGCTGAGACGGTAAAGAGGCAGCCCAAGTCACAATGTCTGTCAGCGCTGGTCTCTCCCATCTTCAGAGAGGTAAACGCACAAAACTCGCCTCATATATATAATCAAACACCCTGACTGGATTTGTCAGGGCCAAATGCAGTGCACTCACTGTAACTCTAACACTATCACTTTTTATCACGGTAGCAGCAGATAAGGCAGCAGTAAAGTGTAATAAACTGTGATAAGCTCTATATGTTGTAGAGTTAAATGTAAGTCTGTCTGCTCTCCAGCTGAAGGAGAAGAGGAGGGCATGTGGAGGAGGAATGGGTGCCATAGAGGAGCTGGAGAATGCCTTCAACCTGGCAGAAGAGTCCTGTCCTGGCATCTCTGACCTCCTGGTCACACACATGATGGAGAGAGTGTGCAGGTGAGTGGATCTTTAAGAAAAAGTACAGTGGTATAGAAAATATACCACTATACAAGTAAAAATTGCATTTGAATGTAATATTTAAGTAAAAAAAAAATGTTTTATTAGGTTTGCTCTGAATGGCAACACCACACCATCATCACGGTGAAGACACGCCTCTGCTGCTGCTGCTCCTTCCTCCTCCCGCACTAAATCATCATCATCATCATCATC